GCCGAGGGCAGACCACCTCTGCCTCGGGCTTCTTTTAGTCAGCCGCTGGTTAGTTTCAGCAGCGGCTGAATCTCGACGCCAGTTCCGACTTACATACAAATTCAACTTAAGAACAAACCTACAGTCTCTATCTTGTACGTAACCCGGGGACTGCCTGTACTGGAATTTAGGAGTTCAAGATATCCAGCCTCAAAATAAATACAATGCCTGCCTCTGTGTAGTGAGGTCATACCAAATCACCAAAATGTGTGTTTGTATACTTTCTCTACACACACAGATTTTGTAAGTAAAAGTTTTGTAATCAAACACTTTCCTCATGCAAATAGAGAATATGGCACACATGGGCTGACCTCTTTGGTAAGTGTGTGTTGGACTGGTTTAAAAAAAAAAAGTTTGGTTACACTATAAACTGATCTCATATGATGTATTTCAGTTAAAGGCTTCCTGCTTAGAACTTTAGATTAAGGTTGTTTAATTTCTGACAGGTTTTTTTCTCTTCCCCCTGTATGGTGTCCTTGTCTTTCAAGACCGGAATCCTAGGTTATATATATGAAATCCACATTATTGCTAATGAATCTGAATATGGCCTAATTTATTAATCCTAATCTTGTTACGATTGCAAGGGAGACTCTGAGGAGAAGAGAAGAGAAGAGCAGAGGAAGTATGGAGTGTTCTTTGATGATGACTACAATTACCTGCAGCATCTAAAAGAAGCCTCGGGTACCTCTGAGCTCATCCCTGCTGATGTGCCTGGTCCACAGAACAGGAATGTAGTGAGAGAGGAAGAAGAGAAAGAGGAAGAAAGTCAGCAAATTACAGTAAGTATGGTATTTGCTGCACTGTTGACCATTCTCTTTTGTATCATGCTAAGTTTAACACTTGTAAATTGAGCTAAATGTTCAAATTTAATAATCTTGTCCAGCAAGCATTCATGTGGTTATAAACCACTTATGAAGGCAAATTTAATAATCTTGTCCAGCAAGCATTCGTGTAGTTATAAACCACTTATGAAGGGTTCTCTTTCCCGTCATCAAAGGTCAGGCACTTTTGGTTACGATCAAATAGGAAATCTGGCATGCCAAAGATATTGTAATGGCAATTAGGAATCCATTCATTATTTAGATGAGCGTTCCTATGTGACCAGAAAGGGAGGAAATCCCATAATGATTGTCTTAGGAGGTGGGGGGAAAAATGTGAATTGCTCACACTACTCTTGCATTGGTTTGTAATAGTCAGATTTTGTGGAAACTGAAGAAATCTTAAGTAACTAGGGGGCAGTGCCCCCTGCTCGCTATGCTTGCCGCCACCCCCCCACCCCCAGGTGTAGGCAGCTCCAGCTCTTTTCCCTCCCATCTGCCAGGGAGGGCCAGCCCAAGGCATGACAGCCCTGGCCTGCCCCATCTCTCCTCCCAGCCACCAGGACCCCCAGGCTCTCCCCCTTCGGTCAACCGAGGCTTTGTGCCCCCCTCCTTCCCCCCTCCCCTGAGCATTGGGAGGCGAGGAGAGGAAAGGTGCATGGTGCACTACTTCAGTCCGCTCCAGGGAGGGGTGCCATTCTGGGGTCTTCCCAGGACCCGCACAGCAGCTGAGTACTGGGGGAAAGAGGGAGGGAGGAGGCAGGTGGGAAACCGAGTGAAATGATGTTTTCATTCTGTTGTCCTGTAGGAAAACTCTGTGTGTGAGTGTGGGTGTGTGTGTGTGGGTGTGTGTGTGTGCGTGCGCGCGCATATATATATACACACACACACAGTAATTCCTCATTTAACACGGTAGATATGGTTCAGAAAATGATTGAGTTAGGTGAAAATGTGTTAAAAATAATGGAAAAGGTGGGGGTTGCATTTCAAGCAGTGGGGAGTGGGGAAACCCAGCTGCCGTCCTGCAAGCTGGATCGGAGGAGAGGGAGCAAGGTATCCAGCGAGATGGGGGTCTCCGGGGAATGGTGCGGCGAGCAGCAAACCCTCTGCCGCTTTGCAGGGAGGTGGGGGAAGTTCTGGGCAGCTGCTGGCGACTGGCCGGCTGGGGAAACCGTGTTATTTCGGGGACGGTTGTATTGTTCAAAAGTACTTTAAAAAATGGCCGGCTGGGGAAACCGTGTTATTTCGGGAACGGTTGTATTGTTCAAAAGTTCTTAAAAAATCATTCTATCGTGAAATGTGTTAAGCGGGCACATGTTAAGCAAGTAATTATTGTACATGAGTTAAAATCCTGTTTACTCTGACAAAGACAAACATTTGAAAATTACTGCTTATGTATTTAGAGCAATCAAAACATATGTTCATTCTTGTGCCCTTGATTATTTTAAATAAGGGATGTTTTTGTGTTTTCTTTTATGTAAAGGTTACCTCTATTAAGTTGCCTTCCTCAGTGTTTGCTTCAGAGTTTGAAGAGGATGTGGGACTGTTAAATAAAGCTGCTCCTGTTTCAGGTAACTCCAAGGGGACATTCAGTGAAATTGTTTTTGTTAAACGTGAGGGTTGCTTATCTACTGATTAATATGAATTTCACATGTTTTATAGTGTTTTGTTTCAAATACTGCTCAGTAGCTGAGAGAAGAATGTCTCTCTAAGTGAGGAGAACCAAAACGTAAATTAGTGCCTTAAAGGGAACTCTGTCAGTCTTTTAATGCCCTATTCTTTTACTGGGATATGTGTGTATACCTTCGTGCCCCTCTAGAGTTCCACCAATACAAGTTAATCTACATGAACCCACTACAGAATTGGGGTTTCACTCTCAAAGTTTTGTCTTTAAACAAAAGGAAATTCCATTCAGCGTCCCAGTGTTAATGTTGTACTCTTCCCCTCTTTTTCTGCTATTTATTTGTACCTTCTGCTCCATTCATCTGAGGAAGTGAGTTGTGCCCACAAAAGCTCATGATACTATCTACATTTTTTGTTAGTTTCTAAGGTGCTGTGGGACCATTCTTTAAGTACTCTTAAATTGTAGCATGATTTAAGACTTCAGTGTTATAAGATGCCATGTGCTTGTGCTTTCATAAATATAACTGTGTGTGTCATTCTGGTATAGCAGCTGTCACGCTTTCTCTTATTGGGCTGTAAGATCCACAATTCCTTCTGGTCAGAGAGGGGAGTTGTAATAAATGTGCAACAAACTGAAGTAGAGGATTAGTTTTGTGGACTCTGTGTATGTAATGTAGGGTTTTTTTAATATTGTCTACAATGGAGGATGTGTGTACTCCAAACATAGGAGAAGCAGTCATCCAAATGAGAATAAATCATGTATAGCACTTTAAATAATTTGGCAACTACTAAACCTAAAAACACCACTGCAATACATATTATTTCCATTTAATAGAAGGAAAATTTGAGACTCTTGTGTTCAGTGACTTGCCCAAACACATTAACTAGTAAATTCTGATCTCAGCTTTATGTCCGTGTTCTGTATTCAGACTATTGGACCACACATCAATCTGATTTCTAATGAGCAGTTACAATTTTTAATTGAAACATTGTACACTGTCAGATTGAACTCAGCAACTTTACTCCTATGCTTGTAATGAATTCTTAAAATTTCTTGCTATGTCTAGACTGGCATGATTTTGCGGAAATACTTTTAACGGAAAAGTATTTCCATTAAAAGTGTTCCCGCAAAAGAGTGTCTAGATGGGCACGGATGCTTTTGCGCAAAAGCATCCGTCCCCAGTATAGACGCGCTTTTGTGCAAGAAAGCTCCGATGGCCATTTTAGCCATCGAGTTTTTTTGCGCAAAAAATTAAGGTGCCTGTCTACACTGGCCCGCAAGAGGGCTTATCCCTGAGCGGGAGTGTCAAAGTATTTGCGCAAGAAGCACTGAATTCTTACATTAGAACGTCAGTGCTTTTGCGCAAATTCAAGCGGCCAGTGTAGACAGCTGGCAAGTTTTTGCACAAAAGCAACTGCTTTTGTGCAAAATCTTGCCAGTCTAGACGCACCCTCCTTGTCCTCTTCTTCCTCCCAAAAATGAGGGCTGTTATCTGAGCTCAGCAAATAATTTATACTAAGTTAAGCTATTTCATTTGTTTTAGGTAACTGGCTTGACGATGCAATGCCAATTTTAATGCATTCTTTTCTGTTGTAGGACCTCGTTTGGATTTTGACCCTGATATTGTTGCAGCTCTTGATGATGACTTTGACTTCAACAATCCAGATAATCTTCTTGACGATGACTTTGTCCTAAAGGCCAACGAGCTAGGGAAAGGAGAGGATTATCGGTATATGGAACTTTTCAGAACTTTCTAATGTCCTAACAAATAATGCAGTATTGCTCTTTATTGGTTTGTGTGTTTGCAACTAAAGTTGTTTCACGTTCTAAATTCTGTGTTGTTGTTGCCTGTAGGGATATTAGATAGCAGGTAATAGAATAGTCAACTAACCTCATGAATTCTTAGTGGTTGGTTGACTATTCTATAGTCCCTGTGGGCGAGGCTGGCAGCCAGTGCGCTCAGTCCCATTCCCGGGGAGCCCCCTGCCACCTCACACTTCTGCCTCTGGATCAGAGGCAGCGGTGCAGGGTGCCAAGTGTGAGCTGGTTGATGTGGGGAGTTTTAAAATCAGCTATCCTCATGGGCTGGCAGCCTCCTGCATCACGCTGTTGCCCCAGATATAGGGGTAGCAGCAGTCCCTGTCTGCTGGGGACCTCTGATATAGGGGTAGCAGCACTTCCTGTCTTCAGGGGGTCTGAGCTCCCCGCGGTCGTGAAGCAACCTTTGCCTGCAGTGGGCCTAGGCAGCAGCGTTGGGGGTGGGGCAGGCAGCACTACAGAGCCAATGCTGGGGGGAACCAGCTTTTAGGCTGGCTCCCCTAGCACGAGTTCCTGCTCTTCCAGACAGCGAGTGTTGGAGGGGGAGGGAAATACAAGTACTGTAGTTGACTAACTGATAAGCCTAGGCTATCCCTATTTGCCGGAGGTCTGCCTTAAACACAGGCATTAATTGGTGTCGTTATGTTTTACAAAGCCAAATTCAAAGTTTGTGTGAGTTTCTAAGGTTGGAAGTGGATACCTCTTGCCAGCACTAAAATCATAAATATATCTGACAATCCTACTTACTTAGGTAAACTCCATAAACTGTGTTGGTATTGGACACACAATTTCAAAGCACTTGTAGTATATACTATAGGCACTAATATTACAGTTGACTATTAAAGTTTACAAAACTTTAGGAAAAATCTTGTTACCTGTGATATTTCTCACTTCATATTTCTAGCATTAGCTACTGCTTCCACTTCTTTTATGAACATGTTTTTTATGAATAGTTTTCCATGTTCCGGTATTCTTTTGCTTTCTCCTTCAGTTCTTGTCCCATTTCCTGATGTATAACTAACCAGAAATCCATTTGGAACGCCAGTGGTACCACTGAGTGTGAAAGCATTTTTGGCTATTTAACCTAATCAAATATTTATCGGTACAACCTGATTTTAACTTTGACCGCACTTTTACTACTAAACATGTCACCTTTTTGTTTCTGTAGGGTTTTTTGTTGTTTTTTTCAATTTAACTTAACTGACATAAGCTTAAGAGTTGGTAAGATAACACTGTGTAGACTGACATATCCATTTTAATACTCAGGGGATCTGGTATTGAGGATGAAGATGAGTGGGAGGATATGGATGATGAAGGAAAGGACGACAATATTAGTGATGAAGATTATGATTCAGAGGGTCCTTTATCAGACAATGAGAGAGTTGGTGAAGAGCTGAAAGAGTTTCTTTTCATGCAAGAGGAGACAAAGAGTCGTTTCACTGAATATTCCATGACTTCATCAGTAATGAGAAGGAATGAGCAGTTGACCCTACTAGATGAGAGATTTGAGAAGGTGAGGCAGCTCACGAATAAGAAGACTAAGTAGCCCTAGGCATAAGAGACAGAGGACATTTTAAACCTATTTCTCTGTGGGGCTTTTTGCCCCATCCTGCATATCTCCTCACATCTCCAAATCTTGGGAGCAAGTGGTTTTTAAACTTTAGGCTGTGTACTTCTTCCCAAATAGTTAATCCACACTGCATATCTCCTCACATCTCCAAATCTTGGGAGCAAGTGGTTTTAAACTTCCCAAATAGATAATCCACTGTTAGTAGGCCCATCTGAGAAAGACAGGGAGGTGGAGAGAAACACTCCTCTTCTCTTCCCCCCTCCTCCTGATTTCTGCCTTCCATTTCACAGTCTGAAAACCTCTAGAGACTGTTTGGTATGGCCACCTGGAGTGATGTGAAGGGATGTTAAGGGGGCAGGGCAAACAGCTGTGCCAGGCAGCTCAGGTCAGCAGTGCATGGTTGGAATTGTGGAGGGAGCACCATCTCTGCTCCTTGACTTACCTCAGTGGACCACCCAGCTGGTCAGCCAGGATAATAAAAAATTGTAACTCCAGGCAAGAGGCCTCAGATCAAAACCCCCCCCCCCCCCCCCCAAAGCATTCCTCTGCATTCCCTTAGAGTGGGCACCCCCAACAGTTTGAAAACTGCTTCTGAGTCACAACAGAAAGGAAACGTGAGGATGCAGTTTTTATTGAAAGGTAATTAAATGATTAGTTGAGATGTGTTGTCCACCATTAAAAGATTTTTCTTACATATCCTAGGAATATGCATACCCCAGTTGGAAAACCACAGCTAAGCTGATCAATGCGCATGGATCTTTTTAACTATGCAAGCTCTTGCTTATTTAAGTTCATGGTGGTGGCTAGGGGTGTTAACAGGTAACCAGTTACCCAATGGGTGATGCTTACCAGGTAACAGTTAACCAGTAATTATTTGGTATCTGGGGAGCATTCCAAAGCCCACTACAGATGGAAGGCTGCTCCAGCACCGCGAGGCCCTTCCGCAGGGCTGGAAGCGGCCGGGTTGGAGATGCTCATGTTAACATGTAAGTGGTTAACTTATTAAATGGGATTTTACATCCCTAATGGAGGCAGATGTCTCTCTTGCTCTGCAGATATTTTGCATTATAAGTAATGAGTTTCAGTGTGAGTGTTGTTCTTATCCAATGCACGTTTGTATTCTTGCTCTGCAGATATTTTGCATTATAAGAAATGAGTTTCAGTGTGTGTTGTTCTTATCCAATGCAATGCACATTTGTATACTCTCTTACATTAAAAGGCCTCGGGAATATAATCCTAACTACGGTTTTTCTCTCTTCCTGACCCCAGTGAACAACATTGCATTTGTGAGATGTAATTTAGACATAAATATTCATTAATTCAGGTTTGTGGATTTCTTTCTCTGTGTAGTTTTATGAACAGTTTGATGACGATGAGATTGGAGCATTGGATAATGTGGAATTAGAAGGCTTTATTCACACTGACAGCACTCGATTGCAGGAAGTCCTGAATGACTACTATAAAGAGAGAGCTAAGGAGTATGTAGAATGCACTTTTAGACCTACTTGTATAATCAGAAATAACTCTTACATGATTTCCGACTTCCTATTAAGATAAGATTTACCGATACTTTTATTTCCTTCAATGGAAACAATATTTATGTTTTGTAGGATGCATTTTATTGTGTTGCAAAGTATTTCATTTTTATTTAGCAGTGGATTTCAGTTGAACTAAATAGTAATAATGTTTGGGGGAGAGTGGAGGGTTGAGTGCTTGCAGTCTTGTTTAAAAGGGGGTTTGATATCCCATTTAACTAACTACAGCTAATGTTCAGAGGCCTTATCACTTCTGATTTGCAGGGAAGCTACTGATTTGGACTCTGGCTTCCTCTTACCATGCATCTTTCCATTGTTGCTGTTGTAACTGACCCTGCAACAGAGCATCTCCACCTGCTGTTGTGATACGGCAGAACTTGTTACATAGTAGGGATGTTAAACTTAGTTTAATCATCTAATCAATGGGTTTTTCCATTGGCTAGTTGGTAAGTGGGGAGCCTCAGTGGGCTTAGCTCCCACTTGGGAGTTAATCCTGCTGTGGCTCTGCCTTTTAAACAAGACTCCATTTAAAAGGCTAAAGCACAGCAGGAGGGACCCTGCCCTGAGCTGGGAATCAGCTGTCCTGGCTCCCTCCTGCTGGCTTTAGCATTTTAAATGTTTTAAGAGCCTGTCAGTTCTTAATACACTTAAAGCAGATGTGCATTTGGGACTGGGCTTACGCCTGGTCCCCGCTAGCCCCCTGAGCAGACAGTGCTGGGGGAACCAGCTTTTAAGCCAGCTGCCCCCAGCACCAGCTTCTGCTCCCTCCCCCTTACTGACTCTGATAGAGGCAGCAGGGTGGGGGGGAAGTGACTAGTCCCTCAACTATCCGATAAGCTTTTGCTTATCGGAAGTCAACTAGCTACTTACATCTCTTATACATAGTGGAATGATTTGTGTACTGTGAGCTCATAACAACTGATGTAAGCACTCCAAGCAGTAGACTTTATAGATCCTAATCATAGAGATGCTTTCTCTTTGCCATTTCCTGTTTTCTCTGTGCCTTCACTTCCTCTTCCTGGTTGCTCTGAAGCATGCTATACCTTCTACTGCCTAATTGATCCTTTATGACACAATTGTTTGCATTCAGATCAGGGGCACAATGAGCCAGTAGGTTCACTAATGTTTTCTGTCCTGCATTTGGGTTTGCCAAATAGCCTTGGAGGCAGCATGCTTTAAGCCACATCTACACTGAGAGTATTTCAAAATTACTAAATTCGACTTAACTCCTGATTTAACAGATTTGAATTAGCATGTCCATGCTACAGGAAAGCCTCGAAATTAGTCTGAAGCAGGCTCCATTAATGTGGATGCACTACCTCAGACTTAGAGCCCTAGGAAGCACTGGGTATTTCTTAGTTTGAAATAACAGCACTGGCACGTCCATACTACTGTTAGAGCCCCAGGAAGCACTGGGTATTAATTAGTTTGAAATAACAGCACTGGCGCGTCCATACTACTTTTGAAATAACTATTTTGGAATTAGCATTTCTCCTGATGAAAAGCAGGAGTACAGATTTTGAATTCTGCAGCCCATTATTTCAAAATAACAGACTTAGTACTGTGGATGCTCTGCTTATAAATTCGACCTTGGGTGGGGTGCTTATTTTGAAATAAAGTCCTAGTGTAGTCCCAGGTCTTACAGTTGATCTCTGCATATGTTAAAATAGGCTGGTTATTTTTGAGATTCATAGGGCAAGAAAATGGGGAGATAAGTAAAAGAAATTCCCATGGTATACTAAGTGGGTATTTTTAAGGCATGTAGAAAAGTTGTTCCTGACTTCTGGGTTTATTTTTTATGTTGTCACAGGCT